CTACAACACACTTAGTCGGCATATTTTCGGACAATATCGACTACAACCTTCCCAAACAAGTGAAAATGTGTGAAATGCAGACTTTCGTGTTCTCGATTTGACGTCACATTACCCGCTAGAGCCATTCCTCTTTAAAGTCGGTTGTGGGGCAAGATGGCGGCCGATTTTCCGTATTTTGACTGGGCACAGAAAATTGAAGATTTAAGCAAATAAAAAAAGTTTTGCACAGAAATACTCCCAAAAATACGCTTATTTCGTTAAGCGAAAAACATTTTTGGGTTTAGGCGCACTTTAATTGGTTCTTTGTGTAAATCGTTTATTCAAAGAAACCTCAACTTGCAGCTATAAGCTGAATTACTTGTGCTATATACAACATGTTTAAAAATTGCAACTATAATTCCAAACTATACTAGTATTAATTTTCTTTTACAATTGTTGTTTAATTGCAAAGTGCAATATAAAAGTATTTCTAAACCTCTTTGTTTTCACATTCGGGATTGAAAACATACGCCTAGTCCTAAAATTATATCTCTCACTTTCATTGCGCGTGGGCAGCAGGACAGCTAGTTTATGCTGGTCACTCTCTACTATTTGTTTAAACAGACTGCGACATAATTCCTCACGTTTATGGAAGAGGGTTTTTAAAACCGCATCTTCTAGGGCCTTGCAATACAAAACCTCTGGGAATAGGATCCTTAAGACTCTTTCCTGAACTCTCTCTATTTGGTCGGACAAATAGGGTGGCAAACTAGTATGGAAGGCCTGACATGCATATTCCAGGACGGAACGTATATTATTTTCCAGCTAATTATGGTTGCAGATCAACTCTTACCAAATGATGCTATTCATAAACATGTTCTTCTAAGAATTCGTCCTAAGGTTTTTTTTTTCCTGATTATTTCAGCGCCTGTCAACGGAAACTGGGGCCGGTGGGGTGAGTGGAGTTCTTGTGATAAATCTTGTGGTTACGGCAAACGGAAGAGAACGAGATCATGCAACGACCCGGCACCGAAGCATGACGGGAAAACCTGCCCAGGAGCTAACACACAAATGCGCACGTGCAACATGATGGCTTGTACTGAAAGTAAGTTATTGTCTTTTAGGTCTTGTTTCTGTCCTATAGATCTACACTTTTGCGCAGAAAATAAAAACATGGAAATTGCTAGAAAATATAAGATGTTTAAGATAGAAACCGCTTCAGTTGCAATCAGCAACAGAGAAGGAACACGAATTGCTACCGATAGAAACGGGTGTGTAAGTAAAGAAGGTCAAAGTTATGAAGCTTTCTTTGAAAGATGAACAAACGGTGAGGTTGTGCTTTTGAGGGACTGGTTCACTCCATCTTTTTAAATTTGTTTAAAATATAAAAAAATATACGGAGACGAAAGAGAACTGAAAAAGATGCCAATGAATTGCATTCATGTGAATTTGAGAAACCCTCGGTTTAGATGTTTCTGAACATGGATGGGTTGATCAGGAGTTTATTATTGAAATCATTTTTCTCCAAAACAAGGCCTCGCCTCGCGATAAGACTCCAATTTATCTGTTGTTAGCGATATTCCTAATCAGCGCTTAGTGTTAGCTCAGTCTCTTTGGAAAATTTTCATTTAAAAAAAAAATGTTTTCACTTTTTTCCTCTATTAATTATGCTCCTTAAATAGACATTATTTATGTTAACGCAATTCTTGCTTTTGCAGATTCACACGGTTGTAATTTCGATAAAGACTATTGTAATTGGACAAACGTCTGGAGTACGTCACCATCTTTTAAGTGGTATCGCCACAAAGGTCCCACTCCGAGTAAACATACGGGACCAGGAGGAGACCATGGGGCAGGCAATGGTAAGTTTGAACTTGGGCTGCTTGTGCTCTCTCTGTGTGGAAGGCCTCCCAATATTTTTTCAGGACACTCTTGGCAAATGTGCGATTGTCACAGCGTATTAACTTTTTGTGTTTTTTAATTTTTTCCCGGAAGGCTATTACCTCTACTTAGAATCCTCATATCCCGCGCGGTTTGGGTTCAAGTCTCAGCTAATGAGCCGCTCCTTTAATCCCTCGGAGGAGTGGTGCATGAGCTGGTGGTACAGTATGAATGGTCGGACTGTGGGCCATCTCAGTGTTTACCTGTTAAACACTGAATTGGGAACCAAAACGAGACTGTGGTCCAAATCAGGAGAGCAAGGAAAGCGTTGGAGACAAGGATTCGCTTCACTTAATTCTGACTCGCAATATCGGGTGAGAGAGGACGTTACCTAAGGGATCGGTCATTATTTGTAATATTTACCTGTTCCCCCTTAAGGATCTGTAGTATTCCCATGTTATGCCCGTTTAGTGAAAGGCAATTTTCTACGCCCCTCCCCTTTTATACTCTATTTACGACCGTTCTCCCTGAAAACCAGTTGACGTG